AATGAGTGTGAAATAAAAACATTTAAGCATTCGGGCTTTTAGATTTTTTGAATTTACCTTTTTTATTGTCGTTTTTACATTTATTGCACATAAGAGCCATCTTCAATATATATACTATTCAGCTTCATATGAAATAAGAAAAAATCACATGAAAACAAAGGAGTGTAGTAAGTTCGCGTGTCTATTAATAATGCAAGCAAACAGTATCAAATAAGCCAATTATATATACCGAATATTGGGAATGAATTTCCTTATCTATGTGGAAATCGACCATGTTTTACATTGTTTTGGGTCTACTGGTACAGGATCGGGTTGCTTAATTGGCTAATTTTTATTATAATTATTTATTCATAATACTTATTTTATGCATAACTTTATAAATAGCTGTAATGCAAAAACCTCGTAGGGTTTAATTTTCTGGGTACCTTAATTTTCTTTTAAGAATAGAATAGAATAGAATAGAAATATTTTTATTGCTCTCACAGTAATACATAGTTCAATAAATAATACAATGCGATATGACAGCGTGAAGAGCAAATGGATGTGGCTCAGCATAAACTGCTTCGTTACGGAAGGTCACGGGCAGCGCTACTTTTCAGCCACACCCACTTCTCTTTAGATGAAAAGCGAGAAATACAAAAGAGAAAAACGTAGGTGGTACTCCCACGGTCAGATTGTGTACGTGCGTGTGTGTATGAGTGTCTACGTGCGTGTGTGGTGTAGTGTTTGTGTGTGTGTGTACATGTGCGAGCGTGTGTACGCGTGAATGTGTTCATGTATCAAATCCATACACTGCGAAAGTAGCTAATTAGATAACCAGAAACATCCTTTAAGGGGTATCTATCAATTTCCAATAACTACGGTTTATATTTTCTACAGCAAGCTGAAGTTTCATTAAAGCTATTTTGTATTTTCTTTTAAAACTTTGTACAGTAATTTTTATTTTCGTTGGGGGTGGAAGATCATTCCAATCCAAATGCTTTCCGTGTAGAATCTGAAAGTCCTTCTGTATCGCTTTGGGCTATGTAATACCTTTAAATTATTTTAAAAAAGTAAGACTGCCCGTAAGCTCCTCAGTGCATTGTCCTTTGACCAGGTAAGCTTTTCAAATAAATTCTGGATTTTTTTATAAACAACTTTTTGAGTAATACAAGCACACTGTAGCTCCGTACGAGCACTCATGTTAAGTATTCCTTTTTTGTTAAGGTACATTGTTACCTTTTTGACATGTTTGCAAGTTTGATGTCAACTTTCAATTTGACGACACTGTTTAAAGTAAAACAGGGAGGAAAAAGGAGCCCTTGCTGAGTTTCTTGCCGGTTCTTCTCAGGACAAAGTCTCCCGCCGTAGTTTTGCGAACCGATGGCGTAGTTTTCGACTCTCACATGTGCTTGTAAAAGCCTAAACTGAATAAATGATATTTGATTTTTAATTGAAATTTTGATGGGAATTCTAATTTCCTTTTATCTCCATATCGCAGAACTAAAAAAAGTGAATTAAAATCGCCCAATCACAATTGATTAATAACGGAAGTGAGTAAGAATGCCACTGTACCTGGTTGGTTATTGGGGATTATAATTAACTTTTTCTTTTTCTACGATATACATATAAAGTGAATTAAAATTCCCAATTAGTACCTACTATCGTCATTTTTTTATATAATCTAATATAACATCTGAATTTGAATTTCTTGCCAACTCATGCATGGAACGGCATAAATACATATGTATTTATTCCCACGTAGACCTTTAAGTAAAGACCATCGCCATTAAATAAAATACTAGTTAACGTTCCTTATTAATTTTCAATTTCATTAATGGATTGCATTTATGATATTGGACTAAATTGTCCGCGATTGCGTTATCTCGGGGTACGGTAAAGACAAATTGCTGTGTTTTCCTCGGTCACTTCACCAAGACGTCCAGGGAACTGCTCCTGTCACTGGATTTCCTAATATAACTTGACAGTACATGGCAAGCAAAACTTAAAAATGATATTGATGTAAACAATAATCTTGTTGAATTTTATTATTATATTCGAGTGTTTTTAATAAAGGGGTACTCAAAGAAAACTTTTACTAGAAAAAAATCCACTCAGACCAGCAGTGCTAATCTGTAAAATTATCACGCGTGGTTCCGATATGGATCCGCGGATGTATATTGGAAACGCGCGGATACACATCGGATCCGCACGTAAAAAAAATAAAGAATAGCACTGCAGGTTTTAGACTGGATCAGCCCTCATTACGAAAGGTGCTGGTTCAAATCCTGTCTGAATTCTGGACTGAGTAGATTTTTAAAAGCTTTCTTTCAATATATAAATGTAGCAGTTAAATGCTTATAAATAAAATGACCAAGAAGTTACTGATTGTAAAGTTGAACGGACATTTACTCTTTTACCGTGTTTTGCTATATTGCATTTTTACTTTTGTTTCACCATAATTTTGAGAATTCCTTATGTTGTAGCTTTTTAAAATTAACATAAGAGTATCGATGTATCTGTGGATGTTTGTTACTCTTTCACGCTTAAAGGGCTGAACGGATTTGAATGAAATATGGTATATCTAAAATTTATTACCTAGATTGACACATAGGATACTTTTTATGGAAAAATACTAGGTTCTTCTGTAAAAATATTATTCTCAAAAAAAATACTATAAAGCAGACGAAGTTGCGGGCGGAAGCCAGTTTGTTATATTTCGTTTTTGTGATTCTATTGCTTCGATCAACAATAATAGATAACGGGTCAGCGCGTAAATTACGTCTCGGTATTTTTTTTATACTCGCTGCTATTAGCCTAGCCCGAAAGATAGCTGTAAGGCTTGTGTTATGGGATACTAAGGCAATGGATAGAATACATATACTGTACATATATAAATATATTTATATAGAAATACATATCAAACATCCATGGCTGGAGTATTAATGGTCGTATTCATCACACAAACATCTGCCCCACCAGGATTCGAACCCGGGACCTCTCAAGTCGGCGACACCATGAAAACTGGCGTACAAACCACCCAGCCACGGAGGTCGTCAATATAGCCTCACTTGAGGCGTGAGATCTTATTTTCAATTAGTTCGGTTAATATATCGCAGTCATCTGGTTGAATCTGCTATTTCATTGAATGACGACATTTAATTGAATGACTAAAGGTTAAATCGTCAAGTTGTTTAATGTAACGTTCAACGTCTTGACTGAACGTCATTTAGCATAGTCGTCGAATGGGATATAGCCAACTTTGAAATTATGTAAGTAAAAGAAAAATACCATATTTTTACGACAGATTCGTGATAAGTGGGTTTGGTTAGGTAAGTGTTGTGACCTGAGCTTAGCGCCAGCCGAGCGAGCGAGGCGAGTGTGACGCGGCAGCGGCCGGCGAAGCGCCAGTCACCTGATAGATAAATAGGTCTTTGTAGGTTTTTTTTCTTTTTTCCTGCTGTCTGACGCCTTATTTGTTTTGGTGACTACTAGCGCCGCAGTGGGAACTAAATTTTAATCACCTGACTGATTTTACGTCCGTTCTGTTCAAAGGGCTATGTTACAATCCTCTAACTAGTTGGACGTTGAGTGGACGCCGCTTGTTCAATAAACGTTCAGCCTAGTCATTCAATTAAATGTCGTCATTCAATGAACGAGCTAGTCATTCAATCAAATAGCAGATTCAACCATATGACGGCGACAAATACATAGCCAATGGTTCAGTCGGTAAAAGGTCGTATAGACGAAATAACATTTCGATATTTGTAACTTTATTCGTTTGTGTCATGGTTGTCATTAGGTTCAACTTAAACTGTTTTAAAACATTGTTATCTACAGAATTGTTGATCGAAGTTGTATTGCTACTAAATTACTACAAAAAGTTATCGTGAACGACGTTCCGTTGTATAAAGCACATTTTAACAACTGTTATTAAATCATATCACATGTAAGCCTTCAACTTTTAATTGTGAAGGACCTCCACGGCATACAATTATAGCTTAAACAAAACATAGCATTATGAATTTTGTACATCACATATTTTTAATTACTTCAAAATTTGACTTGACAGAAAACAAGCCAAGAGTTTTTACTTGGTGCTACGTTCAGGTATTACGAACACTCTTAAAGTCCCTTTCAATTGTCAATGATATTTTCTCCAAAAATTCTAATAATTGTATATAAGATTGTGATTTTGAAACCTCACATAAGTACTTATTAAAAAATATTAAGTACAAAATATTGCTAATTACAAAAAATATACGCAGACGCAGACGAGCATATACGCAGGACTGATGAATGTTGAAGAAGCGAAAGAGCTGTGTAACAAGTCTAGCAAGTAGAGGTCAAATTCTGCCTACCTCATTAATATATATGCGTTCCTTATATATTATTTTCTTTATGTTTTTATAAGTAATCTATGCTGATACTCCTTTGAGAAAAACTCAGTCTACAGCTTAGTCGCACGTGTGACGGAATGTCTTAAAAACGCCCAATACTCGACCAACTCGGTTCCAATGTGTGAGGAAGAACTCTCAAATATAATATAACTAGCGGCTGCCCGCGCCTTTCTCCGCGTTATCTTTAGGTTTTTGAGGAAATTCTACAGGAACCTAAAATTTTTCAGTGATAACAAGTATCCTTTGTCTCGATCCAGGTCTTTATTACCTTTATATGCGTACCGATTTTCTTCCAAACCGTTAAGTAGTTTTTGCGTGATCGACTAACCAACATTCAAACTTTCACATTTATAATATTAGACGGAATGTATGAAGGTACCAATTTGCTTAATCTTACAAGGAAGAAAATGCCTTTAAAACACTCAATACACCACAAAGTCGTACCTGTTCAGATGGCGCGATTTACGCGCACGATTCACACGTGTTTTATATCAATTGATCCGTGCTCAGCACTCACGTCAGTTGTGAAAGAGTAATGATGAATTCCATGAACCTATAAAAATTGTCTAATTGTCTTAGGACTAATTGTATGAAGCTACAAGTTTTATTTCATTGATATAGGTGTGTCGGCCGGCGGCGGAGGCTGGGAACCTTTGGGACAACCGTACTTCGATAACAGCACGAAGCGCGAGGCCACTGCCGCCGTGGGACAACCTGCGTATCTTCACTGCAGAGTACGCAACCTGGCTGACCGAGCGGTGAGTAGAAACCTACCTACCCTTTAGGCTGAAAGCTGATTTACGCTGGGGCAACACTGTGGGGCATTGCGGCATGTTGCACCAAATAATTTAATATTTACAGCACAATGCCTTGAAATGTTCAAGACAAGATGTTGTGTCGGCTTTAAATAGGCTGCTGAATGTTGCAAATGAAGCAAAATTTCTCTATTTGCAGCATACCACCAGACCCACGTCAAAATATGTAGCATGACGTACTGTCGCGTGTTGTTGCCTCGGCGTAAATCAGCCTTATAAACTCACGGAGAGAATTTCACCCACGCCCGCCGCGGCTGTGCGACCGCAACTTGCATAGAATGTGAAATCGTACGTACAATGCAATAGTGAAGACGACAAAGCTTTTTTCTTCGTCTATCAGGTAGATTTGGACACAATTTTTACTTAATAATGACGTCACAAGCCCCAACTCCAAAACCTTGACGGGCTTTATCTTTGTAATTTTTTGGTTGATTGACCAAAGAAAAAATACGTGTCCATTATTTTATGATAATTTAACTGACGAACTTAATAGAATTTCGTTTACCTAAACCCGTCGTCACCCCTATTGCTAATTTCACAACGCGACTTACGCTCGCGACATAAGGGTAGCGAAAGGTGCTGGTTCGATTCCAGCCCAATAGGAAATTTGTATTTTTTTTTTAAACTTGAGATAGAAATGCAGCAGTTAAATGGTTCAAAATATATTATCTGACATTGTTATTTCTTATTAGGAAAGTTTGATAAATAAGAGTCGTGAAGATCACACATCTTATGACTGGACATTTGACCGAACGCCAGTTAGCTCCTCATTCTTATCAATAATAATAATAATATTTTTATTATTATGAAAAAAACGTAATTTTAGACCCGTGACAACAGAAAAAAAAACTAGTAAATACCATCTACTTAAAAAGAAAAGATAGTTTGAGCCAATATGGGTTAGTCACGCATTACGAGTAGTTATGTCGCGCGATCAAAAATAATTACTACCTGCGTAGTAGGTAGGTACTATTAAAACCTTGACAATAACATTCTTTATTCACGAATGTGCCTGTAGTTCATCGGCATCTTAAGCGCAATAGTACATTACTACAGCGGCCAGCAAAAGAGGCGTTGATTTCATACATTCAATTATCTATTGCTAACACAAATTCATGCTCGCATTTGTCTACTTCAAGTTTTATTTTCGTCGAACAAAGTAGACATGCTACGAGTATTATCGATACAGGAAGCAGCACCTTACCTTACCCTGCTTGGTGCTAAGTGTAGATAGAGTCCAGTCGTGAATATAGCCGATGCAGTGGAACAGGGTACTATTTACCCACCAACAACACAATACATACATACATCATAGGCACCTCGCGCACTAGCCGACCACGACCAGTGGCCGCAACGACCAGATTTACTAACTACGGTAACCATAATGAACGTCTCGCAGTTGAACGTAGCGACCAACTGGTCCCATACCGGTCCGACACGGCTGTTCGCGGCGACCAACTTACGTATAGTTTGCTATCGCGATCGCGAATGCGGCCGTGTCATGCGGACAGTTCTTGAATGAACATGCTTTGTATCGTTTCAAAACTCAATGCGACGATGTTTTTTGTTCTGCAATGAATTTAGTGTTAATTCATAATGAATTAAAGAGACGACCAGTAATATGGCCGCTTTACAGTCTGTCGTGGTCGTGGCCGTCCAGTGCGTGAGGTCCGTAAGTAGTATTATTTTACTGCGTCTTCTGTATGGTGGAGGTTACCATCCCAGACGAGCACTCCATGCCGAGGAGCAAATCCAATATGCCCTACCTCACTTTAAAAATCTATTTAATGTTCAAATAAACAAAAAAGTTAACTGAGTAGGCTCTTAGTCTCACATTTGTAGATAAAATGTACAAGTATATATTATTCTAGGCCAGCTATACTCTAAGTGTGTTCCGCGGAACCCTAGGGTTCCGTGATACCTCTGTCGGGGTTCCGCAAGAATTTAGAAATAAAAAAATCAAAACACCTCTCTCTGGTCGCTCCGCGGCTGTGCGGACTCCGCGGCCGCGCGGAGACAAAACGCTATGAATGTTATTTATTTATTTATTTGTATTTGTATAAGCTTGTGTTACATTAGCTGGTACAATATCTCATAAGTTTGGTCTCAACAATTTTATACTTGTACAACGCGTTCGCTCTAAGTTTGCCGGTCTGTGGAATGCGCGTACCCTCCCCCACGTGACAACAAAACTTATAATGTGTCATAGTTTTACCCAAATATCTAACGTACACAATTTTTATTGTTACAATTAAATAAAAAATTTCGAACGTCATACACTCATACCTATCGCCAGCGGCAAACTTAAAACGAGCGGGTAGTATACTTGTAAGCGCTCAGTCTCTTTGATAAAAGCCGCCTCTGAATTAGACGCTATAGTTGTCAACTAGCGACTTTCGTCTCTAACTTCAAAGGATAAAGTCGATATTGTTTACAACGCTATTTTTAAATTTCTGTTTTTATTTTTGCTTTTTGTTTATCAAAGGTGCCGACTCGAGTATTTTCGAGAATATTTGAGATCGAGTCTAGGACTAAGTATAAAAGCGGCGATCGCGCGTTGGCGTCGTCAGTTGATGATTAGCGTTCGGAGCGATAAGTTACTACCTACTTACAAGCTCGCTAGCGAGAAACTGGTGTTCATTGTTTTACTGCCTGCTGTATTCTGTTGTCTCAGTTTTATACATTTCTTCCCTGTAGGTTCTAAATTTAGTCTCTTATACGCAGTAACGATTGTGCATTATTTAAACCCCACTATCCTGACTTGTAACATTATAAATAAAGAAGAATGGAACGTTGGCTTAAAGGTGTTAAACGTGTTCCAACAACATCTTCTAATGACGCTGAATGTTCAAAAGCAATGCGCGCGGAGAATTTAGCAATCACCGATCCAGAAGATGATGCCACGAGTGCCACGACGTCAAGCTCGACGGTTTCAAAGACGAAAAAAAGGAAGTATGATGAATCTTATATCAGTTTCGGATTTGTTGATTCCAACGGCTCACCTCTCTGCATGCTCTGTAGTAAACTGCTTCCTAATAGTTCCATGGCACCTGCCAAATTGCGTCGACATTTAGAAACCGTACACCCCGAGACTAAAGACAAGAATAAAGAATTTTTTGTTCGCAAAAAAGATCAGTTATTAGAAAGTCAAAAAAATATGATGCATGTAACACAAACTACCAACGAAAAGGCCACGGAGGCATCATACTTAGTTAGCTATCGCATTGCACAAGCAGGTGAAGCGCACACTATCGCTGAGAAATTAATAAAACCATGTGTATTAGACATAACAAAATGTATGCTTGATGAAAAATCTGCAAAGCATCTTTCTACTGTTCCGCTATCAAACGATACTGTTTCACGACGAATCCATGATCTGGCAAGCTACGTCAAACAAGAACTAGTTACACGTCTACAAAATACACGATTCGCTTTGCAAATGGACGAGTCGACTGATGTCGCTGGTTTGGCTATCCTGCTGGTTATTGTGAGATATCCATATAAAAGTTCTTTTGAAGAAGACATGCTTATGTGTTCATCGCTGCTTACAAACACTACCGGGGAAGAAATTTTTAATAAAATAAATATATTTTTTGAAGAACATAATCTCAGTTGGAACAATTGCATTGACATTTGTACAGATGGGGCCAAGGCGATGACAGGTAAAACAGCAGGAGCAGTGTCACGAATGAAAAATAAAGCGCCTAATTGTAGTTCCAGTCATTGTATTCTGCATAGACAAGCACTTGCGATGAAGCAAATGCCGTCTAATCTAAAATTAGTTATGGATGAAGCGGTAAAAATAATTAATTTTATCAAATCACGACCACTACAATCCCGATTGTTCTCATTATTGTGTGAAGATTATGGCAGCAAACATAAAACACTGCTGCTCCATACAGAAGTGCGATGGCTGTCTCGGGGAAAAACTTTAACAAGGCTATTTGAACTTAGAGCCGAGTTACAAATGTTTCTTTCAGCAGATACTTCTTTTAATTTGAAGGACCGTTTGTATGATAAAACTTGGTTGTTCCGATTGTCTTTTATGGCGGATATCTTTCAAAAACTTAACGAATTAAATTTATCATTGCAAGGTAAACAGACAACAGTGTTTCAGGCCTATAATAAAATAACTACTTTTAAAAGAAAATTAGATTTTTGGATCATTTGCATTGGTAAGAAAGAAATAGAAAGTTTTACGTTACTCACTGAGTTTGTTAGCGAAAACGACTCAGAAATGTTTGAAGATAATGTGTTTGAAGAATTGGTCCAATATCTCAGTTCGATGCGCGCATCTTTTGAAAAGTATTTTCCCGAAGAACACAATACAAAAATTAAAGTGAACTCCTGGATTCATAATCCTTTTTTACCCAACTTGGAAAAGCCTGAAAACATGTCAAATGAGATATATGAATCTCTTTTAGAAATGTCATCAGACACAAGTATGGAGTCATTGTTCAAAACGACGCCTCTTAATGATTTTTGGTGCAGAATCCAAGATGAATATGCAATGCTTGGCCAAATGGCTCTGGATATTCTTCTCCCGTTCCCAACTACATATTTGTGCGAAACAGGATTCTCTACCTACGCAGCCACGAAAACAAAATATCGCAATAGACTGGACGCCGAAGCTGATATGAGACTCCAACTTTCTTCCATCAAACCTGATATCAAGCAATTGATGAAAAATAAAAAACAGTTTCATACCTCCCACTAGTTAGATTTTTTCTTTTTTAATGTTTTCTATTATTGTCCTTACCAAGTGGTGAAGTAAATAATAATTAGTAACGGATACATTGTACTTTTATTATGCTGATTAATATAGAATACACTTATAAAAATAATTGTTTTATTGTAGGGTTCCATCAAGTATTTTGCTTCCCAAAAGGGTTCCGTCATTTAAAAAGTTTGAGAACCACTGTTCTAGGCTACCTACCTAGAAC